CTGTTTTTAATAAAGCAGTACTTGTGATAATAATAATTACATATTTCATTAGTATTTGATGTTTTATAATAAAAAGAACACATTTCATTCTGAGATTTATTAGAACAAATACCTGTAAGTGAAATACTTGTTTTACAATTTTCACAACCAATTATTTCATTTTTAAATAAACAATTAGTATCATCAAAATATGTACATATTCCATTCCTTAAAATATAACTGTTAGAAATACATTTAATACAATAATTTGTTTCATTACATACTAAACAGTTCTTATCTTCACATAAAACACAATACCCTAATTGATCTATAACTCCACTACATTGAATACATGCTGATTTATCTGAATTAAATCCATAACCTGATTCACATCTTTTACACATTTTTCCTTTTTCATTATTTTCACATAGCACACAATTATTCATTATTTCATTACATTTAACACATTTACCATCTTCAATATACTCATTTACTTCACAACTGGAACATGTATTATTTTTTACTACTGTATTAAGAGAACAAATAGTACATATCGGTTTACCTGATTCGTTATCATATTCACAAGAATTACAATTTGGATGGATTTCTGTGCATGGAGAACAAATATCATCTCTCTTAAAATAATTAATATCACAAATATCACAACTTAATTTGTTTTGATTACACTGTGAACACCCAACAATTGTATCTGAACAAAAACTACAAGAACCATTATCTTGTAATACATACTTTTTATTACAAGTAATACAATGAGTATTAGAAAGACATTGTGAACAATCTCTACCACAAGGTTCACATTGATTTTTATCATTTAAATAAAATCCTGGATGACAAGTAACACAACTCTCTGAAGTAGTATTACATACAGAACAACCTGACATCAAATTACAATTTGTGCAAATTCCTTCATTACTTAAATAATTACCATTAGAACATGATGTACAAATGTTATAATCTTCACAAACATCACAGAGAATTTGAGAACATTTACTACATTTTCCATTTTCTGGAAGAGCATTATTAGAACAAAGCAAACACCCATCTTTATCAGGAGAACATAAAATACATTCAGTAATTTCACTACATAAATAACACATTTTATCTTTTAAATAATAATCATTTTCACATACTTTACACTCTGAACCAGAATCACATTCAGCACAATGTGAGATTTGAGTTGAACATTCAATACATTTATTAGATGATAGATAATATCCTTTTTCACATGATCTGCATGTATTTCCTGTTTGGGTACATTGAGAACAATGTGGAATTATTAATGAACAAGAGACACAACCATTTGGTGTAGGAGTATATGGGAAAGAACATCTTGTACAGAGTCCATTAGAAGTACATGACTCACAATTTAAGATTGTAGAACAAGGAATACAAGAAGAAGAATTTAAATAATAATTTGAAGCGCATGATAAACAATGAGTAGGAGAATCACAAGTTTGACAACTTCCATTTGTATTGAGATAACAAGCTTAAATATAAGTATAGGAAATATGATAATAATGAAAAAGAAAAACAAACAGATACACTTCCCAGTTGTACTATTAACATAATACTCTTTTGTTGAACATTGAAGACACGAATAAGAAGTTTGACTGCATACTGAACAATCATTAAATGAATCACTACAACTTACACAAGTTCCATCTGTAAATCTTGTAAAACGATTATTGCAAGTAGAACACCTGAAAGATGAATCACATGTTTCACAATTTGGTTGTACTGTTTGACAATCTTTGCAAATTATACTTCCATCAACACTTGTCTCTGTTTTGTATGTTGGAAGACATGATAAACATTGTTTCTTTAGTGAGCTACATGTAGCACATCCAGTAATAGTATTACATTGTTGGCATCTTGCTCCATCTAAATAATAATTAGAATTACATTCAGTACACGCAAAAGCATTACTACAACGTTTACAACCAGAAAGTATTGAACAACTAATACAAGTTGATGTTACAGAGTCAAGATAGTATTCATCAGATAAACAAGTCAAACACCTTTCTTCCTTTGGAGAACAAATCAAACAACCAACCATAGTTGAACACTCTTGACATTGATTTAATGAGTCTAAATAATAATTATTGGAACATATTGTACAATGACTTGATGAACAAATAGAACAATGAGAAAATGTTTCTGAACAAGATGTACAGAAATTGTCTGAGTTAAGATAATATCCAGGATTACAACTATCACAAGTATATGATGATCTTGAACAAGTAACACAATTTAAAATATCACATGCTAAAATTTAAATTTTTTATTCAACTCTTGTTATTATTTAAAAAAAAGACAAACTTTTACAGACACCTTCACTTAATGTCGATGGAGCATAACATAAAGTACAATTTGTTGCTGAATTACAGGTCTCACATTCAGATGAACCACATGGAAGACAAGTATGAGTAATTGGATCAATATAATATTTAACGTCACAAGAAGAACAATAATTATTTGAAGCACCCATACAATGATTAACAGTGATATAACTAATACAGAGTCCATCATTATTTTTAATATAATTAGTTGAACAAATTTCACATGTATTTCCATTGATAACATCACAATGTTTAATTTCTATAATAAATGAATACCTTTACTTAGTTGTAATATCTATATATCATAAACAAACGAAAGCATGAGTCATCATCAAGATAATAACCATCTAAACACTTAGTACATGTTTTATTATATGTTGACTTTGGGTCATAAATTCTATTAGAACATGTTAAACAACCAATAGATTTACAACTTTGACAATCTGGACCATGAGGATAATATCCTTCAGAACAAACTGAACAGTACTGTCCTGTTGAAACAGTAACACAATGTGTACAATGATCATATGATTGTTGACAATTAACACAAACACCTTCAATATTAAATCCAGTGGCACAAAGATCATTCTGTTGTTCTATTAACATAATTAATATATTTGTTAATAACTGTAAAAAATAAAGAAATTGATACAAACCTACACAACTACCATTTAGTAATGTTACTGTAGTTTCTGAACAAATTGTATTCTGAAGACAATTCCCACCAATTAATGAATAACCTGATTCACATTCTATACATCTTCCATACAACGCTAAACTACAATGAACTGTTGAATAGAATACACACTTTCCATTAGGTTGAATAATATAGTCTGGTTGACAATCAAAACAAACAGTACCATCTTCTGAACATCCTGCTTCTCCACAATTTTCACATTTAATACATGTACCTAAAGTAGATAAATGATATCCTACAACACAACTCTGACAAGTTTCAGAATCACATGTCGAACAGTATGGATATTTCTTTTGACAACTATCACATTTATTATTTGTAGAAAGAAAATACCCATTTGCACATGAAGTACAAGTACCCCCTCTACATTTTTGTGTTGTTACACCACAGTTATATTCACTTTGAAGAACACACTCAGATGAATCAAGGCAATATCCAGTTGAAAAAGAACAAGAGACACACTCTTCCAGGATATTACATTGAGTACATGGACTATATGAACATTCTACTTAAATGAGAATATTTGAAATATTTAAAAAAGAAGAACAAACTTGGACATGTTCCATCATAATTTACCCTTCCTGAAGAACACTTTGTGCATCTATCCTTTGTACATGAAATACACCCAGGAAATTTTTTAGGACAATAATCAGACATTGCTAGAACATATGAATTAATGTTTATTAAAAAAAGAAAAATAAATGAATGATAACCAACCAATACATTGTCCATCATATAATACATAATTAGAAAACCTACATGAAATACAACTTGTTAAATTGCATGTTTCACAAAACAAAAATGAATTTGAACAAGCTACACTATAAGTATGTCCATATAAAAAAGATACCTAAACAAACGAATACATTGACCATCAAACAAATAAGATGAATCAGCACAAGATATACATCCACCAGAATTACATGTCTTACAAAAAACTCCAAAAGTATCACTACAAGCTAGAATAATATTAGTACTTGTTTTAGAAAGATGTATAAATAAACAGTCTTGGTTTTATTCTCGAAACAAGTAAGAAGCAATATTAGTTTTTTAGTCATATCAAAAACATTAATAAAAAACAAACAAGCACAAGTATCATAAGTCGTAAGATAATATCCATTGGCACATGTTGTACATTTTGAAGAAGACTCACAAACACTACAATGAGGTGGACATTTTACACAGATATTGTTATACAAACCATAATTCTCCAAACATGATGTACATAATGTGGATGAACTACATTCAGCACAGCCAGTAGGACAAGCTATCTAATGAACTTCATAAAGAAAAAAATTGATTTAATAAGTAAAACAAACAATTACATATTCCTAAACTAGCTAAATAACAACCAGTTGGGCATCCTGTTAAGATTGAAAAACGACAGAGAGCAAATGAATAATAAATAAAATAGGTGAAAAGAAAGAAAATTGGTGGTGCTGAGAACAATCCCATAAATACAATCAACTATTTTTTACCGGAGTTTTCATAAATAAATTTTTCAATTACTAATTTTATAGCATACTTCTTGGAATCTAATAATATTTTGGTTTTTTAAAAAAAAATAGCAATTCAGAAACTTTAATGTTTAATTGTTCTTGTTTTTCCCTCTTTATTGATTCATTTATTCCATAAAAATTTCAAATTTAATTATTGTTTTAACCAAAAAAAACACTACAAGAATTTTTATTCCATCCTTTTTTTTACAACCCCTCAAAATAGTATAAAAATAGTATCTTATTTTCTAAAATACTAATATCCAATATTTGGTATCATTGTATGAATTAATATATTCAAAAAGTAGGATAATAAATTAATTAGAAGATAGCTTTATTATAATAGAAGCTTGGTGGTTTGTTATTAGTTCATAAGATTGTTTTTTAGAATATAATCTAAAGATTTTATTAACCAAGCTCTCCTTATTAATTTTGCCTCATTTATTAAAGATGACGGTTTTATTTTGGAATATGAAACTGTTTTATGTTTTATTTTATTCAATTATTTCAAAATTTGAATTAAATAGTTTTCTAATTTCTTGGAACTTTTTTATACCAACAATTGTGTTTTATTCTTTTTATGAAAATAAACATTTAACAATTTTTATTTTTGTTTTAAATTATTGAAAAGAATTCTGAAAAACTTATAAACATTTGAAAAGTAATAGAGAATAATTAATTCAAAATGAATTGATGGAACAATTACTGAAAAAAAAATTATGTAACAAAATATCGTAACTTTTATTATAAAGTTCATTTTGGTATATTATAATAATAGTATAATTATCATAATAAAAATAAATAATATTTTCTTGTATAAATATTACAACTTAATAAATACATTAATGAAAGAAAAATTAATGTTAGAAAGGTATAATAAAGTGAAATAATAAATTCTCAATAATTACAAACTAAAAATTTAAATATTTTCAATTATTTTAGGTATAATTCAATAGACGCAATGTTTATAGTTATTATCTCTTTTTTTCATTAAAAAAAAGATTACTTAATATTATACCTAGACTATCTTTTGTTTATCAATTAATATATCTTCATTATTTTGTTAGAAATTTTTTAGACTTTAAGTATAAAGAAACTTTCTAATAATTTACATAATATGTTAAAAGATTATGACTATTAAATTCACATACGATCATTTGTACTAAAATAATTAAAAAAATATTTAACTTATCAATTAGCAGAAAAAAAAGATAAATACTTATGAGTGAGAAATAACTTCATATTCTATCAAGAAAACAGTAAAATCTTATAAATGTTTAAATTAAAGAAAATTACCAAACAAAAAGGAATTTAACAATAATACCTTTTTAATTAGTGTTGGTTTTGTTAATAATATATCATGATAAAACTTAAATATAAAATAATCACCAATGAATAAAATAAGCTATTATTGATGTTGTTAATGTAATCGTTAAATTATCATACAACGATGGAGAGATAAATTCAATGCAACAACCAAGACTAACGATAGCTAAGGTGTTAAAAACCCAAATTTTCTCAAATATTATATATTCAAAGACCAAAGAACCAATAAAACTAAAGATGATAAAAGAACAACACCCACCAAATGTTTTTCTACCAAATGGAGCTGGAATTACTCTTGTACTGTGAGAACCAATTATATCAGCCATTCCATCTCCCAAACATAAAACAATAATTGAAACAATTCCAACAGGGGTATCATACCAAAAAAGAATAGTAATAAGAGAAATAACAACCCCATAAATAAAAGGACCTTCAAGTAATTCATGAGGATCTTTATTTCTTGACATAATTTGAAGGATGAACTGAGATAAAGGTAATTTCTGGAAGAGATAACACAACAATAACAAGAGAGAAACTGAAAAAGGAATAGTTGCAGCAATAAAACAAGAAAGAGAAGTACTTGGATAGAACTTCCAAGTTAAAACAAAAAAAGGACCAGTTAAAAGGTGAGTTAGTTTTCTTGAAGTTCGAGACTGCAATGAGAAACATCTTTTAAGAATGACAACAAGAAGAAGAGTAATAATAAGAACACAATAAGATAAAAGATATGCAAACAAATAATCCATTTGAACTCTTTTAGTTTATTTAAGGAAATAAATAATAAGAAAAAAATGGAATTCTAAATAATTAAAAAAAATAAAATATTAAAAACCATTTTGTAAAACTGATAATAAAATTAATCAGCCCTCTTTTTAAAATTGTATTTTTTCTTTTCATTGAAAACAATTTAATATCAAATATAAAATTAATTAAAAATACTTTAATTATAAAATAAATAATTTGAAAGAAATTTAAAATAAAAAAACTTATAAACAAAAAATAATATAATTATTTATTTTTTAAAATTAAAATAATTTAATTTAATTTTTTTGTTAGTTTCAGTATTTTATTTAATTAAAAAATAACAAAGAAAATTAAAAAAATAATATCTATCTTTCCCTTCTTTTATTAGACTAGTCTTTAAATTAAAGTATTAAAAGGATTGAACTTTTCCTAACTCACAATACAGGTACATAAAAAGTAAGAAATAAAAAGCAAGAAAAAATTAAAGTTTAAAGCAACCAACGAGTTCACAA